TCGTCATCGGCTCCGAGAAGCCCTGGATCTCCCTGCCCAAGGGCAAGGGTGTCAAGCTCACCATCGCCGAGGAGCGCGACCGCCGCCGCGCCCAGGCCCTGGCTGGCAACTAAATTCCTCCTCACTCTTCTGTCTCCAGCAAAGTGGGTATGTGAGTTGAGTCCTGCCGCGCGCCTTCCCCTGTTGTAGTCCTGAAGGACACGACGCTGGTTGGCCGCAACAACACTTTTTCGTGATGTCTTTGCTCCAAAAAAGGACGAAACGGTTTATTTGGGTCGGGCAAATGGGATTGATGAATCAAAAAAACGGAGTCTAGGGCTGATTTTAGAGTTGTCGGCTTTTTGACGTCCCCGGCAGATAGCTGTACTACGGCCAATACCAATCCATTGAAGGTCACTCTTCCGCCCAAGTTACTTTTGAGTTCCCTTCCATGCCTCGTGATATCTTGCCACGGTGACCAAGGTCCAACTCGTGTAACGTCTTGTCGGTTCACTCGTAGGCTCGTACCGCAGGGCGGGCTACCTTACCTGCTGCTGCTACTTACCTAGGATGCTGGCACAAGCAGATTGAAGTTGAGTAGGGAGATGGTTGCGTCCACAAACTGGTAGAAAACTGAGCTATGGCAGCGCCTTAGGTTGAAGCTACCAATACAGATCACCAGCCAGAATGAAGAAGAAGCCTTTCGATCTGAGCACTTCCCTACTTCAAACCTTTGTGGAAAGCGCCCGGCTCGTCACTGTCACCAACGAGGCCCCTCTTCACCGCTCACCGTGGTCTATTCAGGCCGCTGTACACGAAGGCAAGCCGGACAGATCCAGCCTCACCGCAGCTCGCCGCCGTCACATTGCCCCAGCAAGGCCCCCTCAATTCGGATCTATGGATAGAGAGATACTTCGCAACATGAGTCGGAGGAACAAGGTCGAAAGCGCAAAGGGTCTCGTGCCTCGCTGCATGCTCTACATGACGCAGTCTTACTCGGCAGTGCGAAAACTGACACGGCTTCCCCGCGAATTCGAGTCTTGGGGACGCGGGGGACTTTTGGGGGGCGGGCGTTGTCAGTCTGACCATTACGTACAACGCACCATGTTCGCAATCGAACGGTACGCTTCGTAGCTGGGGATTCAAGAGGCTGAGAAACGAGGCACTCAGTGTTCGACGAGGCAAAGGCAGAAGGTCCGGCTCGTGTAACGCCAAAGTTGATTTGTGACGGTGATTTCAGCGGCATCTCAGGCGAGGTACATCGGTTCCTGGAGAAGCCACCCTGGGTCGAATTCTGAGCGAACCGTTGGTCAAACGCGCGTTCTGGAGGGAGCGATGGTGGGTGCTGAGATGTTCGAGAAACGAAGGAGAGGCTTCTCCCGCCAGAGGGATCTACACACGCAGGTGCCAGCCATGAGCTTTGAAGGTTGCCTCGTCAGCTCTCGTCACACCACCGTTTGGCTCCGGCGTGGCGTACAGTCTGTGTGCAAATCTTCTTCCGTGCTATGATATAGCATCAGACAGCCGTAGACGAAGCGAGTCTGGCAAGTTTCGCTTTTGACGTTCAGCACGAAAGTTGTGATCCCGGTGCCGCGAGCTTGAGTTCGGGTGGAACACCCCGCCTTTGTGACCCCAAACCCCGCTGTACAACCGGCGCTGTCAAACTCCCCCAGCAATCGAAACCGCGGAGACCCCAACCTGTCGTGCCACGACAAGTTTGACGACAACAGCGCTCGTCTTTGGAGACGGAAGTCGGGTTTGATGTCCAGTATCCTGTGACATTATTGGGTTCAAGCGGAGAATCCCATCTGCCCAAAGGATGAATATCTTCCCACGGCACAATGTGCCGTAGTCAAGGCAAGCAGCGCCTCTAAGGCACAGGACTGCGGGTGGTATCTTGCACCATGCAATAATCCTCGTCAATATCCGTCGACGTATTGCTCGGAATTCAGCCTCCGCCACCGCCAGATCCATTGGCAATATGCGGTCATCCGTATTATTTGATTTGTCTTTCCGAACCTTTCTTTTCCTGCCCAGACCGCACCGAAGCTGCAGCCCCAGGACTGCAACAAGCAGCGTTCTAGAACATTGAAGCGGAGGGCAACTGTTAGCGCTACATTCTTTCGGACCTGTAGAGAACGAGCTCCTGCAGGGCTCGAATCCTCAAGTGGGGAGTGTCTGTCCTCTCAGGAACCGTTTGTTGAAATATGGCTAAGCAATGTCAAAGCAGGGTCCGTTGTTGACACAGGAGAAAGCGTGGTAGTTGGCGGATAATAAGGCTTGCCATAAATACACTGGGGTTTCTCTGCTCATCCGGAATGAGGCTAGGCAAGTAAGCGTTGGAAGCCAGGTTGATGAAGCTTGATTGCCGGCTTCTCGATTTCATGGAAATGCTGAAGTACTTCAAATCGACAAACAATTGCGGCTTTCCCGCCTGGGCCATCCGACTTCCGATGCAAGCCCCTGAAGTTGTGCCCAACAAGCAGACCGATCATCGATGGAAGGTTGCAAGTAGAGCAGGGGTTGCAGCGTGGGACTACGCCCCTAGTGATGCATCGAAAATCCTTTGGGAAGGTTGCGGGAGGGCTGAGCGCCCGCAGGTCTGCTCAACAACAAGTGCATTTGATGATGCGTCTCTTACGAGGCAGGGGAGCACGTCCTCGTGTTCGTCTATTGCCGTGATTCATAGAAAGGTCACCGGTCTCCGAAAGCCACTCACCGGCCATTGTTTATGCTGTCATCCCAAAGTCGCGATTGGTTCTCTAGTTGACTTTGCAACCAAGACGACCAGCTAAGATGACATAAGCCTCGCAGACATCCCTGACGAATGTTGACATAGGTGGTAAGCAAGTCAAACGCTGTGAGCGGTTCAACTTGGAGGGGATGAGAGTCTTGTACGGCCAGTGCAGTTTTCAGCTGCTCAGAAGCATCCTGTTCAAACAGCGCTGTGGCTGTCTTCGCCTCGGTAAACCTCCGTGCCGGCCCAAATATCGGAAGCGGATTCCCGGCTGCATCCATGGGTGGGACAGCTGGGAGTAAGTTGCTTGCTCTATCAATGTCCACGAAAGAGCCTCGCAAGCATGGCCTAGTGTCTGCCTTCGTCCTGTGATCCACCATAGAAGTGCGACTTCGCAGCGGTGCGCAGGAACATGCAGTGACACCCACCAGAGAATGAAAGGGCCGTCAGCTCCCAGCCGGGATGCGGCACTGACTGCTCTCTAGAAGCACCGGAGGTTAACGGGCCTGCGTCTTCGGCGTCCACCGCAGTCCTTTTACCCCTCAAGCAGGCTCCACCGCGGACTCTACACCGACAGGGCCGATGCGCGGGGGTTCGTCAGAATTCAAGGCTCTTTTTTGACCCTGTTGCCCTGCAAGGTTGAACTCCGTGGTCATGGGGATAGCTAGAAATTTTACCACCCTCGTCGCTTCGCTGGCTGAACGTGGGGGACACGCTTCTAGCTTGAGCACTAGATCTTCAGGCTCTTCGTCCGTCTCACTGTCGTACAAGACGGGTGTCGGTCAATGCTCTTGCAAGTCTTAGAACTGTTAGCCGAAGCCCTCCAAGTTTTCGCTCGGCAGCCAATTGCACAACAGGTCTTCCGGTTTGATTATGTCGCTTTGTAGCCCAAACAAAACGGTGGGATGTAGTTGGTAATCAGACTTCATATTGACAACTCCAGAAGGTTGTCGCTGCCCCCCATCCACCTTTCCCAAGCCACCCCACGAAACGGGGGTCACACTTGCATCACAACCTGGTGTCGGTCTCTTGTGATGACGTGAAAACCTCCCGTCTCGGCAGGTGCTCATGCCCTTTTTGCCGTTCAATCTGATGGCCAGCGTCTCTTTTCCGCGTCAACTCCGATGCCCCTGCTTCTGCTACCCGACATGCTGGGTTGGTGTGGCCATAAGTGATTAGGACGAGAGTGGTGGTTGGTAATACAAGGCAGCCAAGCGTCCAAGTTGAGCTGGGCCACCCATCGCCGTCACCGTTCCGAAGCCCGGGCAAATGTTCCCATCACCGAAAGAGTCGACGGTCTCTTGTTTCAGCTTCGGCCTCTTCCCCGCTTGGAATCGGTTGTGCCCCAGATTCAAGACCGATGTCGTCCCTTTTGCTGTGTCTCCAGCAGCAAGACAGCTCCAGTGCTCCACCTGGAGAACTTAGCTGGTCTGGTCTTAGTCGCCAAGGTACTGCGAAGTACCATCGTGAGGTAGCCCGGCATCCCACCCCGCTGACGACTCAGAGCTACGACCTAGGCTGTTCGTCGGCTTAGCTTCTCGTCATCGTAGCCCTCCTGCTTTTTGGTTTCTTGACTGGTTTGGCCAACATCGCTATGCTCCAGTGATCTGATTGGATGCCAGGAGACCGTCTGTCCACCCATAGTCTCTGGCTTGGATGCACCTCGTTCCTAATGTGGGAAGTAGTACGCCCAGATACTTGCGGTTGGGTCACGCTCTGGATTCCTCCCACGAAGAAACACCCAAAACATCGTTATTAAAGATGTTCGGCCCCATGAGCATCCACCTTATCCACTTGCCCCAACGCTTAGCCGCTTAGCTTCCTCTGTGGACGATTGCGACATAGCTCGAGATTTGAATCTTGCAGTGGTTGATTGTCCTCTTCTTGGGATATAAGTGTGCCCTTTCCCACTCAGGTGTGTTCACGATCTCGAACGTCTTTGTCACGGATTCGTTTCGCGTCGACCCTTTGATCTCGTCAGCATCACTCGACTCTCTTGAGACTGGATGCCTTCCTTTTCCCGACAGTGGCTTTGAAGAATTCATATCTATACCTTGCCGAACAAGTCGAGAGTCGCTGTCCTTGAATTCGATCGTTCAACTCCCGTTTCATTGAAGTAGAGCAGAAAAACAGAGGAAAATCCAACGCCGACACAAGCCATTCGCCGACGCAACCCACACCGTGGTCAAGCCCTGTCGTTTCTGACAGCATCGAACCCTGGCCACTTCATTGGACCAATAGCGACTCACAATCTTGACAATTCGGATTTATCTCCTTGCAGCCCATGTCGGCAAAATACTCTGCGAGGCCCCTCCTTAGCCACGGCTTGAGGGGCCAACTGGTGGGATCCACCTTCCGAGCCGGCCGGAGGTTCTCCGTGACGACCGCCCGGAAGAGCACTCAAGGTGGCAACTCCGAAAGCTCAAGCGCGAATTCGCATGCTGGTTGGAATGGAAAGTCTGTTTGGGGTGTGGCTTTGGCTGCCGGCGCCGCTGGATGGGGTCTTGCCAGTTCAAGAAAAGAAAGCCCCTTGTCGTCCAACTTTCTCCCTCTCGCGGATGGCTCGCTGCTTGGCGGTATCGGACCTATCAAGTATGCGAGTATGGCCGAAATGGAGCAGGTAGGTTCTCCGTATGCATACGTGTTCCATCATCCTGACAATGTGCCAGGCCCTGAAGGAAATTCGCCAAGAACTAGGAGGCGATGACATTATTTCGACTGATCCTGAGGACTTGCATGCTCACGGCTACTCTGAATGGTCGACGACCAACCCCGATGGTCTTCCTGTGGCAGTCGCGTACCCGCGATCAACGGAACAGGTCTCGACGATTGCACGCGTGTGTTTCAAGTACAACGTCCCTATCATCCCTTATTCTGGTGGTTCCAGTTTGGAAGGCAACTTCTCAGCTCCGTATGGCGGAATCAGCGTCGACTTTGCCTTCATGGATAGAATTCTCTCTTTCAACAAGGAAGATATGGATATTGTTGTCCAGCCAAGTATTGGATGGCAGGATTTGAATGAGAAGCTGGCGAAAATGGAGAGTGGTCTCTTCTTCCCCATTGATCCGGGTAAGGATTGTGCCGATGTATGCGATTCGTTATAACTGCTGACGAAAACTTTAGGTCCAAGTGCGAAGATTGGAGGAATGATCGGTACCAATTGCTCGGGAACAAATGCGGTTAGATACGGAACCATGAAGGATTGGGTCATCAACCTGACCGTCGTTTTGTCCGACGGCACCGTGGTCAAGACTCGAAGACGGCCAAGAAAATCATCCGCCGGCTACAATCTCAACGGGCTCATCGTTGGGTCTGAAGGAACGCTTGGTATTGTTACCGAAGGTGAGTACTTAGAAGCCCCCTCGACGACTTGAACAGACAACTGATGCAGCTTCAGCCACTCTCAAGCTCACAGTCGTACCGGAGGATTTCTCTGTGGCAGTTGTAACATTCCCAAGCATTCGAGATGCAGCGGCTGCTGCGGCCGAGGTAATGCGAAATGGCATTCCTGTCGCTGCCATGGAGATCATGGACGAAGTCCAGATGAAGGTCGTCAACCTGGGAGGTGCTACAGCTCCTCGGGTATGGAAGGAGCTTCCGACTCTGTTCTTCAAGTTCTCTGGTACCAAGGCTGGTGTAAAGGAAAATATCGGCCTGGTGCAGGATATCACCAAGAACCACAAGGGCGGAAACTTCGAGTTCGCCAAGGATGCACTTGAGCAGAAGCTTCTCTGGTCGGCTAGGAAAGAATCGCTTTGGTCAATGCTGGCGCTTCGTAAAGACGGAGAGGAAGTCTGTGAGTAGTTTTCAGCGTGTTTCCATTTGCCGATGCGGCGCAGACTAACATTTTGCAGGGAGTACGGACGTCGCAGTGCCCTTCAGTCGGTTGGCCGATTTGATCGAGGTTAGCAAAAAGGAGATGGACGAGATGGGATTGTTCGCCAGTATCCTTGGCCATATCGGCGACGGAAACTTCCACGAAAGCATTATCTATAACCGCAAGATCCCCGAGGAGAGAGAAAAGGTTGAGAAGTGTGTCAAGAACATGGTCAAGCGCGCGATCGAAATGGAGGGAACATGTACCGGCGAGCACTCCATTGGTTGGGGTAAGAAGGATTCGCTTCTTCTTGAGGTTGGTCCTGACACGCTCGACGTGATGAAATCCATCAAGAAGGCGCTTGACCCGAAATGGATTTTGAACCCTGGTAAGATCATGGACATTCCTGAGGGGTCCAAGACGATCTGATGTTGTGGATGGTCGCTCCTTGGGGTGGGCTTTTGTAGTATGGCCGATGACGTGTTTGCATCGCATTGTCTTCAGTTGGTTTGGTAAAAACAGGATGGAGTGACTTGCGCCGTTGGCTACAAGATTTGGAATAGTCAGCTTCCATCAAAACACTTAGCGAGTTCGAGGCACCTGACAAACTTGGTAACTCCGGTTGAGCTGGTTGGATGCTACATACTCAAGTTTGAACGATTTCCATAGAGAAGGGATAAAATCAACAAAATTCAGGTCATTAACAGCCTTGATTGTAGTATCTCGTTCGTGACGCATCAGAAGTGATGATCTCCATTCTCGAGCTGGCATATACAGAGAGAGTGTATGTTGGTGTGAAGATTGACGATGGGATTAATACAGGTGTGTATTCCGGTTCGGGAGCCTGCAGACATTGCGTTGTTCCTGACTTTTCGCGTCGACCCAGCAAGCAGCTCTATGTGGCAGGCGGGTAGTTGCAGTTGAGGTAAAAGAATCTTCTCGACTTCACCTCAAAAAAGAAAATCAAGAAGGCAACGCCTTAAGGTGATTAATTGTCTACCTGCCTTCTTGAAGAAGGAAACAACGCAACTCCCGACACACCTTCCAGGTCAGGCCTCTCTCCGCCTCACCTTTGCCTATCTTCTCTACCTTTTACCTTCTACCTAACCCATATCTCTGCATCAGACCCAAACAACTTCACCACCATCAATGTCGCTCCCGACCTAGATTCTCTCACAACATCATGAGTTCTGACATCGCAGATACCATGTTGCGATCAAACTCTGCTCCGGGGTCTCCGGCGTCCGAAGCGTCCCTAGGGATTACGCAGGAGAGCCAAGAGGAAGGAGAGCAGCGCGAGAAGGCAAGCTTGGGTACAGTTTTGAAGACGCTTTCGTCAACGAGACAGACCACGCCCAACAAGTTTCGTTCAGGTGCGTACAAATATCTCTATCTTGGTCTCGTCAGTCGAAGTTGTCGTGAATAGGACCTTCCGCAACCGCTCCCCCGAGCTGCAAGACTTCTTCTCCGCAAAATACCTTTGCACTCTTCTCAGCCGTCACTGGCACTTCCCTTTCCCGGACTTCCTGCCTCATGGGGAAGACCTTAACAAGTTCATCATCTCGACGTGTCCCTTGCTACTGCCCGATTGTTTTGCTTCAATTTGCTGACAGACAACATAGGTACTCGTCGAATCGATACGAAATCCGAGCCTACCATCTCAAGCAGTCAACGCCTCGACATAAATACCAACCCCTGGAGGACGTGGCCGGAGCTCACGCTCAAGATTCACAGACTGCCTTCCGCTGCCACGCTGGCAGACCTGCACAAGTCATTCTCACGACATGGCAACATCACCATGCTAGAGATCGGCGAGAACAAGGACGGCTATCGCAATGGCTTCGCAAAGGTTCGCTTCGAGCCGCCGCCCGAAACGAATTTCTGGTCTTCCATCAACTACAACATCAAGTTCGGTGCTGGACAAAGGGCGCGAATCACTCTCGCCCTTTTCGTGCCGAAGCTAAAGTTCGACGACCTGACACCGAGTCCTGCCAACCCAAAAGTTCAACTGAGAACGAGAACGGTCTTGAAAGTGCAGCAGATGGACTTTGGTTCGCTTCTCCAGGAAACTGACATGATGGTCCACAAGTCTGTCAAAGACAATGTCAAAATTGATGTGGATCTTGGAAGAAAGCAGCTCACCGTTACGTTTGACATTCCGAAGAAAGCTCATCAGAATGTCGAAGCAGTCGCCAGAGGAGTTGGTGCTCAAGACGTGGAGGACGACAATTTCCATCGCTACCGCTGCAACATTGCCTTTGCTCGCATAACAAAACTCTTTCGGACCAAGAATGAAGAGGGTGCTACTGCCTTGGTCATTCCTCTCGAGCTTCCTCCTATTTTCAGAACAAAAAGAGACGACAAGAGTCTTGCCGCAATGGCAGAAGGAAGGCTGTTTTGGGGCACTTTGGATATGTGGGAGCGTCGGACGATCATTTTGAAAGACAATCGCCTGCCTTCGAACTTCCCTGTCACCTTGCAGACAGACTTTGACGACCCGGGCTACATCAACATTGGTCGATGGACAACTTTGAGATTCATTGTCGGCGATGAAGATAACTCCTTGGACGAGGCTCTGGAGGCTCTTCATGCATACAACATCGAGGCAATTTCGAGCAACTTCAAGTTCACTCCGCATAGGCCGGCTCTGCTCGCTACCCTGTACAGAGCTTCAAAGACCCAGGGGAAGGAAGAAGGCACCTCCACCGGTCTGTCTCTGCAGTCTCTTGCATCCTCATTGGAGTCACCGCCAGCCTTGGACTTCCAAGTCCACTATCAGTTGGAGGTTTGCATTTCTCGAGGCATCATCTGTGAATACGCCATCACCCGAGAGTTCCTGGAGCGATTAGCAGCTGTCAACAAGGACCGTGCGAAATGGACTCTCGAATATTTTGCAGATCGAGAGAAGAGAGTATGGGATCTGAACGAAATCTTTGAGGATGAGGAGGCGAATCTTCACTTCCCCAACCCCTTGATGCCTCGCTACTGCACCACAATCCGGAAGGTTGTCGTGACTCCCACAACAGCATACTACAGCTCTCCTGGCGTCGAGTCCTCCAACAGAGTTCTCCGAAAGTTCAGCGAAGACCAAGACCGATTCCTTCGAGTACAGTTCACTGACGAACTTTACTACGGCAAGATCTACAGCGACTCGGGCGAAGAGCTTTTCAGCAGGGTCTACCGTACTTTGGCCAAGGGCATCACCATTGGAAATCGACACTACGAATTTTTGGCATTCGGAAATTCTCAAATTAGAGAATGCGCGGCCTACTTCTTTTGCCCAACGGACCATAGATCCTGCGATTATATTCGGGACTGGATGGGTGACTTCGGTCACATCAAGAATGTTGCGAAATACGCTGCACGGATCGGGCAGTGCTTCTCTACCACGCGCGAGATCCCAGGGACCACTGTTGCCAATATTGTTCCCATTGAAGACATCAAACGCAACGGCTTCTGTTTCAGCGACGGTGTCGGCAAAATTTCGCAGCTGCTGGCGCACATTGTCGTCGTAGAGATGAGCAGCGATGACGCCTGCATCAGCGTCCCTTCCGCATTTCAATTCCGAATGGGCGGTTGCAAAGGCATGCTGGCAGTCTGGCCCGATGCCAAAAGGCAGGAGGTTCACATTCGGCCATCTCAAGAGAAGTTCAAGGCAACATTCAATGGTCTTGAGATTATCAAGTACGCACAGCATTCGATTGCGACCTTGAATCGCCAGACAATCACTGTTTTGACATCCCTTGGTGTTCGAGCGGAGACGATCCTGAAGCTTGCGGAACGGCAGATCAAGAACTACCAGAAAGCAATGAACGATCGAGTTGCGGCCGCTAGCCTTTTGGGTCAGTATATCGATGAAAACTTGACATCATTGACGATCAAAGATCTCGTTGGTTGGGGGTTCATGGACCCGGAGATTCAGGAGCCATTTGTGCTGACAATCCTGGATCTTTGGAGAATCTGGTCCATGAAACTGCTCAAGGAAAAGGCCCGTGTCATTGTGGAGGAGAGTGCTTTCCTTCTAGGCTGCTTGGATGAGACAGGTACTCTACGAGGTTACTCGACCGCCACCGAAGGGAAGAAGACCAACAACATCGAGGATCTGCCTCAGGTCTTCTTGCAGGTTGAAAGCCCTAGCGGCAGTGGAAAGTTCACATGTGTCACGGGGCTTTGTATCGTTGGACGCAACCCATCACTTCATCCAGGCGATCTTAGGGTGGTGGAGGCAGTTGACGTCCCCCAGCTGCACCACCTTAGAAATGTCGTGGTTTTCCCACGAAACGGCGACCGCGATGTTCCGAGCATGATGTCAGGAGGTGATCTGGATGGCGATGACTTCTTCGTGATGTGGAACCAAGACCTCATTCCAAAAGATTGGCACCAACCGCCGATGAACTATACTCAGCCTACACCGGCAGTACTTCGTCGAGATGTTCAAGTCAAGGATCTCAGAACATTCTTTGTTCGGTACATGCAGAACGACAGTCTCGCCTTGATTGCTACTGCGCACTTGGCCCACGCTGACAAGTCTTTGCTTGGCGTCAAGGATCAGAAATGTGAGTTTATCTGGGATGAAACGGACCTAAAGGATTGTAGGAGTACTAACACAATACAGGTCTTCAGCTCGCAGCTCTACACTCCAAAGCTGTCGACTACGTCAAGACTGGTGACCCTGCAAAGCTCCCTCCCGCACTGAATCCAAAGGAACGCCCTCATTTCCTGGGCAGCAGAGGCCAGACCTACCACTCATCGACCGCTCTCGGTAAATTGTACGACATGATCCAAGACGTGGGTTTCAACCCCCTCTACGAGAAGAGATTCGACAACAGAGTTCTGAACCGCTTCCATCTTACTGAAGACTTGCTCTCCAAGGCGCGAGCGGTCAAGGTCCAGTATGATATGGCAATGCGGCGTCTCATGGGTCAGCGCGACATTGATACCGAGTTCGAGATTTGGACCGGTTTCGCCTTGTCCAAGCCGCGCGTCGGCAGTGACTACAAGCAGCAGGAAGAGATAGGCCGAGAATCCTCATTGCTGAAGCATCGTTTCCGCGAAATTTGCTATCAGGAGGCCGGCGGTAGTCGGGTGTTCGACAACATCGGCCCATTCGTGGCGGCCATGTATAAAGTGACCCAGGACGAGGTCAATGCAGCACTGGCAGGGGAGTACGAAGACGAGGAGCACAAGCGTCAGTCGATGCCCCTGATCAGCTTCCCCTGGATCTTTCATTGGATCATGGGCCGTATTGCCACGGGCAAAGTCAAGACCACACCCACCATCAACCCAGAAGCAGCGCCGATTACGAAGAAGACCTACCACGCTCCCCATGGGAACGTTGAGGCGGAGCCAGCGACGCAGATTGAGGACGGAAGAGAGGTCCACCGGGGTGAGATGCTCAGGTTGTTTGACAACAGCCCCACGGACAGGAA